AATTTTTTTTTTCAATCAATTGCAATGGGAATATTTATATCATAAAATTATCTGCATTAAAAAAATATTACAGCAAGCACCAAACTGTGTTAGTTTCATGTTGTTATGTAGTGCACTAATTCTGAATGGCATCTTGTTAGATAACGATCACTGAGCCATACGTTTTGTTCTTCACCCTTATAAGATTATGGCCCAATCCCTGTATGTTTAACAAGAGCGTTACGCACTTCGTTTGTGGTATGGAACGATTTTGAAATATTTTTAACAATATACTAATAATAAATATTCCAAACAAGTGACCATTTTAAAATATCATGCGATAATTTAAAATTAGATATCATGCATTTTTTATGCTTGCATTATTTGTGTAAATTAGATGACCTATATTATGTTTTTGTTTAATCTACATAGGATATATCAATTATTTATAGAAAATTTATTCATTAAAAAAACTTTCATATCAATGCCGGAAAATTCTTCGAGTGTTCAAATGTCATTGATCAGACATTTTGAAGCGAGTGTACGCTGGTTTCACGGGTATCAAAATATTCAGGCATTTTATTATGCTTGTGTTGATACGATTAACTTTCGGTTAAATCCTGAACATCCACAGTTTCTTTTAATCGATAGAAGAAATACATAGCAAAGAAACTGCCCTCGTAGGTAAGGTTGTCAGCTGCAAATTGTTTTATGTTTGATAAAGGAATACGAGGGGAAGGCTTGATATCAAGCTACAACTTTCTGTATATTATCCTCAGTCATATGAACATTAACCAACGGACTAACATTTTCCGGCTCGAAAATCCCCCTGAAGAAGACAAGCTTATGCAATTGAGAAGTACCAGGAAGTTATTGAGGAAAGAAGCAGTTATAGCTGCGACAATCTACTGCATTATCTACGTTCAAAGTTGCAAAATTAGGTTATATCAACAGAGAATAAAATTTTCGTCAAAAACAATTTTAACGAATAATTTTTTCGAAGCAATCCACCGCATTTTGCAACAACTCCCTATAAATTAACGCGCACCCATTTTATACAAGCAGTATTTGTAAGAAAATGAACTTTATGAACCGTTAGCTTCCGGGAACCCAGAGTAGAATAACGACAGTCTGCCTGTCTCTTCACAACAGAGAAATAATTTTATCTGAAAATTTTCGAGTCGAATGACCAAAATGACCATTGGCAGTGGATGCGGCCAACAAGCTTCTTATAATAGATATGCATCTCATTGCGCCTGCCATCAAATTAATGACACATGCAATTGAAACAAAGATTGCAATTTATATAAGAGAAGAGTAATTTCTATGACACTTAGGGATACGTTACCTCCTTTAATGCTTAGAAACAGACTTAAAGCTGTATGTGGGAGAATTACCAGAAGAATGTCGGGATGGTATTATATAATGAAATAATTAAAATGATCTTCCCGAAAAGATTACCTGTCTCTGGCATTAAGAAGTTCGTTGATATACAGGCTTCCTCGACATGCTAATGCACCACCTACTGAAAACTACCAGCCAGTGAGTTTAAAAGCTCGCGAAATAAAAATTTAATTCAAGGATTTAGTACTTCCAATTGCAGAGAGTTGAGTTTACGAAAATGACTACAAGATAACTTGACCTCATCTTGTGGTCGCTCCCGCAGACAATTATAATGGGGAAATTATTCATTGTAAATCAAGAAAATTAGTGAAACAAATGGGGTTTAGCGATTAGAAGGAGTGAAGAGACAATATCTTCTAATTTTTGACGTGTCAACTATCTAGAGGCGTGGAAGACATCCAGCCAATTTAGACAGAATCTAGTAATAGCGATGACGTTAGGAAGAAAGTAGACGGCTTTTAAAAGGCGGTGATTGTCCCTAAGAGAAGATTCTTCCACTGTAAGGAAGTGACATGGACAATTCTGCAGCGACATGAACAATTCTGCAATGACATGAACAATTCCGCAATGACATGAACTATTCTGCGGCGACATGAACAATTCTGCAATGACATGAACTATTCTGCGGCGACATGAACTATTCTGCAGTGACATGAACTACTCTGATCACCTGATGTGGTAGAATATTTCACTGAGAACTACTCGGCGGCAGCTAACGATGTAGATACGATGCGTGTGAGTCCATAGATTTTATACTACGTGACACTATGGGTAATATAAATGACGGAAAATGCCACTATTCGAGTGTATAGGTATATTTTTGATAGAATTTTAAACTAAATTATAAAATTGATTCATTCCGCGGCAAGAATAACAAGGTCTAACAAGATTTTTGATAATGATCTGAACTGTGAAGGTTTACAAATTGCACATATGATATCAATCTAGTAATAGTAACAGAATTGTGATCCAGTTAAAAAATCTGACCCGTGATGGTGACGCAATCTAAATACAAGTGCCGTATCATGACAGCGTCGAGTGACGCATCATGACGCGTCGAGGGGCGTATCATGACACGTCGAGTGACGTATCATGACGCGTCGAGCGACGTATCATGACAGCGTTGAGTGACGTATCATGACAGCGTTGAGTGACGTATCATGACAGCGTCTCATCGAGTGACGTATCATGACGCATCGAGTGACGTATCATGACTCATCAAGTGACGTATCATTACTCATCAAGTGACGTATCATGACGCATCGAGTGACGTATCATGACGCATCGAGTGACGTATCATGACTCATCGAGTGACGTATCATGACGCATTGAGTGACGTATCATGACTCATCAAGTGACGTATCATGACTCATCAAGTGACGTATCATGACTCATCGAGTGACGTATCATGACGCATCGAGTGACGTATCATGACTCATCGAGTGACGTATCATGACGCATCGAGTGACGTAAAGGCACAAAAGAACGTGCTGCCAGATCGAGACTCCCACAGGTCAATGGACAAGAGAAGGTCTTTGTCGTCATTGCATCAAGTCTTCGACAAGGTTGTCGGATCATGAGTAACGTGATTGGTTTCGTCATGAGTTGCCAAATTGTAAGATCATTATCAACATTATGAGTTTTACGTCATGTGTCAGCATGTGTCATGGTGGGTGTTAAGATCGTGATCAACAATATCAAAAAAGATCGTGATCAACACGTTGTTTCTAGAAAGCGTCGTCACGTCTCAGGATATTCAGGTTCTCACCCACCTTGTTGAATCAAAATTTAGAGTCGTCTCAGCATCTGATTACTCGAATCAGAAGCTGACACGCCTCTAAATTTTATTCGGGTAGTCACGGGACATCCAAAGATAGAGACATTCTATAGGTGTCTCTAGTCTATTGGTCTCATTACCTACTAGAGTAAAGCATAGCTTGTGCATTTGTGAACTACTCTAACTCCTTCACCGCATACCGCGATTCATCGAAGGGGTGATCAAATTCTAAATCATATTATCGATGATCGTTAATTCATTAGCCAATCAGTCTACAGGTTTGAAACTGAGCTGCACAATACACAAGAAAAATAATTCCAGTTTACCAACATTTAGTATTGTGAAACCATTAAATTTTTTCAGTTATTTGTTCACTGAGCTTGACGGGACATATCTTACAATGGGTACAATTATACCAATTCAGGGGAAGGAATGCATCGTGAATGATTTCAAGAACGGATTTGTGATTGACTGCTGCTGAATAAACGTCATCTTAATAACTCTCTAATTTGACCCCGCTCCGAGATTCGGTCCTTAAAACTTGAATAACTTAATTGAATATAAAACATTCTTGTGCACACCTTGAGATTAATAATCGCTCGCGCACACACACACAATGTAGTTTACGTCCATTGAAAGGCCAAAACTTTTATTTTGGTTTGCAAACGCTCGTCATCCTCCACGCGCCTTGCTTCTTCTATTGATGATTGTTTCCAGAATAACAACTTTCAATGGTCGGTTCTTATCTTATCTGCAAGGTCTTTTTCCCCTCCAGGTTTTCCCCGAACTGCACCAAACTTCCTTCAAATATTATTCCACGCAAAAATTCTCTATGTTGTTTACAAACTATCACCATTCCATTTGAAATCCGACCGCACCATGCCGTATGGAATCATTTTCATCGTGATATATTTTAAAGTTTGCATCACGTTAAATGTGTCTACATTTTTTCCATTAATTCTTTGCATGAACATTTTCCAAACGATTTAGTTAGGAACTCGTTTCTATGAGAACTTAATTCCTTCAAACGTCGCACGATTGTTCTTGAAGAATAGCTTGGAATATATCTGCACTGATATTCCACTTTCAATTTAGTTTTTTTACTAAACCATTTATTATTCATAGTTTCTTCATTATATCAATCTTTTTTGTTATCAGTTGTAGAAATCACATGATTGGCGAGAAAAATTTGTATCCTGGCACAGCAAATATTTTCTTCTGTGAGTTAGGGTCATATTATTTTAAAAAATTACACTAATCTGCTTGATTTATCAATACCATAATGAGACAAAAAAGGATCAAAATTAAAGTTAATCAGCGAAGCAAGCGTAAGTTCAAAGCAGATCATAAGCTCTAAGACGTCTGTGAAACTCATACAGTAGATAACTGCCAGGATGGCTGACGTATATAAGATGAACTGATGGCATATGACAAATATTTTACAGAATACGGCACAGTTGCCATGCGTTTTCGTGAGCAGTTGTGGAGAAATTGTGCATCCGGTGGAGTCCTTGAAAATGTGCTCCCCAATGCATGTGAAGATTTAAATCCAGGATTGGCCAAGTGATGGTAGCCCGACGCGAACAGTGACGTGTAGAGCTACACCCGCGACGAGGGTGGTTGTGGGTGACATGGACAAGAGAAGGTCTGTTTAGTCACTGCCTCTTCTTCGACAAGGTTGTTGAATCATGAGTAACGTGATAGGTTTCGTCATGAGTTGCCAATCCAAGAGGGGAGAGGGGAAATGTGCGGGGAAGAGGAAGTGTGCTAAAAAGAGTGAAGAGAAAATGTGCGAGAAAAAAAAGAAGGAAGTATGCAAAGGATAGTGATGGCAAGTCGCAAGAAAAAATTTGTTAAAAATAGAGAAGAATAATTGGTGATAAAAAAGGAAGTGTGCGAATAATAATGGAGGAAAATACGCGATAAAGAGACAGAAGAAGTGTATAATGAATAATAAATGAGAATTCGCAAGAAAAAGAAATGTAACTCTGCAAATAAAGCAGAGGAGTAAGAGTAAATCAAGAAGGAAGTATAGCAGAGACGTAGTGAGATCAGAGAGGACATGGAACTGGGTGAAAATGGAAGAAAATATGAGGGAAGGAAGTGGGAGGGGAAAAGTGAAGGAACACAAGGGATATGGACAAAAAATTCGCCGAAAAAATTAAAGCGAAACAGAGTGAGAAAATGGACAAATCTGGAAGACTAAGGTGAAGGAATATTATGTATGGGTGATGAAAATAAATTAGTTTAAAGCATCGATGAGACTGAAAGGAAAGGATGAATTGAGAGTTTATAAGATAGATAGGGAAGGCGGAACAGAAAATCTATCAAAAATAAAGAAATTGCTGCACTGAAGAAGCAACACTTACGAAGATATTCAAAAAGGAAGACAGCAAAAGCATCATGGCGAAGACCGATCGGACTGATTAATGTTAGGACATAGGAAAATTAAACTAGATTAAAATACGATGCAGAGGCAAGAAATGAAGACAGCGAGTGTCAGTAAAGAGGCGGGTCAGGAGAGGCGTAAGGCCCACGATGCCTCCTTGGCCTCGGAGGCCGAGGCAGAGTGAAGGCAGTGAAGGAACTCGGCGGGGACGGCGAAGAAAGGTCCCCCGAGTTCACCATATAATTGGGACGAATTGGCTGGTGATAATGATGATACTGAGGCTGCTGTTGATTATTCTGATGATACTGTTGTTGTTGATGGTGTTGATGCAGGTGCTGTTGATGGTGCTGGGTGTACTGAGGGGTGTGGGGGATGGGTCGGTTGCCGGGGGTGTAGTTTGGGGTGGCCACACCTCTTGCTGACTGCGTCTCGTCTGAATAAAATGCGTTATTATTGAAGCTGTTTTCCAACGTTTTTTTAGACTACGATCAGTAGTATAGATAATAGGTGTACCGTCACACTTTGCATAAACAGCTTAAATCATAGGCCACCACAACCATTTACCCGAATCTTGTCTAACAAAATTAACCAATTACCCCTGAATAAAACCTATTCATTTACTCACAATCTTATTTCGAATATTACCCATCGTAACACTTTGCATAAACAGCTTAAATCATAGGTTTCCGATAATATCATTTACCCACAATCATTTACCCCGAATCTTGCCCAACAAAATTAACCAATTACCTTCAATATTAATACGAACAATTACCCCCGAATCTGCATAAACAGCTTAACAGGTTTTTCGGTTAAAGAGTGTAGTAAAATCGGGGTAAATGATCGTTAACCCATGATTTCGGAGGTAATTGGTTAATTTTGTTGGGTAAATGATCGGTATCCTGTTAAGCTGTTTATGCAGATTCGGGGGTAATTGTTCGTATTAATATTGAAGGTAATTGGTTAATTTTGTTGGGCAAGATTCGGGGTAAATGATTGTGGGTAAATGATATTATCGGAAACCTATGATTTAAGCTGTTTATGCAAAGTGTTACGATGGGTAATATTCGAAATAAGATTGTGAGTAAATGAATAGGTTTTATTCAGGGGTAATTGGTTAATTTTGTTAGACAAGATTCGGGTAAATGGTTGTGGTGGCCTATGATTTAAGCTGTTTATGCAAAGTGTGACGGTACACCTATTATCTATACTACTACGATCAATTATTGAATTTAGGTGAACTATGAGCAAATTACAGACGAATATTCACGTTTGTCCACGAATTAATTAATTAACTAATTAATTAGCATATGAAGTTGAGCTTTTAATAAATGATCATATACCACTCGTAAACATTCGATATTATTGTACTAGAACATTTCATTCACACTGGGATAAGTTGTAAAGTATGAAATATTTAGCGTGTAACTGAATGAAATATTTAAAGTGTAACTCGCATCAACTAAATAAATTTTTGAATTAATCAATAAAAATTCCTAAATTTCACATATAATTTGGGAATAAGACAGTGCATTCCTGTTAAAAATTCAGTTCTTGTACAAATCTCACTTTGCAAGAAGGTGTACGGATGTCCCACTAAGGTGGGTGTCGTAGGTGGGATCTTAGCGGCAGGCAAACGCGTGGGGAAGCTGATGTTATTCCCCATGTGTCGCTTGGGGAACTCTCTGCTGCTTAGGGAAGTAGAAGGAGTGGAAGAATCCCTCTGGGGAGTTATCATCTGGGACATGATAGCTCCCAGGTAAGGCTTCCCGAACACGGGGGGATGGGGAGTCATTGGGGAAGATGCATATTGGACAACTGGGGGAGGAGGAGGAGTTGTGTCCCCATCACCACTCCCGACAACCTGAGGAGCAGTAAACATGGTACATATTCGACGAAGACTGTAAATTTATCAATTAATTTCTTTTCCTGATGATTGTTCAAAATATTGCTGCATGTAACAAGATACGAGTTCAACTGTGGGCAGTCTAAGGGTAAATTCGATATACCTGAACTTGTATATATTTTTTTCATTCGATCTTCCTAGCTAATAATTATAAAGACCAATCCAGGTACATAATATAAACATTTCTAGGTTATTTTTAAGAACAGGATAATTTTTCTGTGCGTCATTTCATCAAGAAGTTCATTGATAACACTGAGAGACGGAACGAGAGGCGGCTAATTATTAAATTATCCTTTTAAACTACTCCCAAAAAGACATTTCAAAAATCTATGAACCTTGGAAAATTTGTTCATAAAGAATCGCCGCATATAAGGGCAGGCAAACCAAATCTGGCGACTGAGGGACATCAATTCAGACTTTCGATCCATCATTTACATGTAAAACTTTCAAAGTAGTTCCATGTAAGATGCAATTTCGAAAGATTGGAATATGAAATTGTCTGCTAAACATGAACTATACTCCTGCGTAGCTTTCAAATATTTTAAATCAAATCTTGTACACTACTTGATCAACACCGCTCTTAGGTTAATCAGCTGGCTTTTTGCATAAGTTATGGCAAATTCTGTCTCGGAAAAATCAGGACTATGAGTAAAAATTACAATAGGTTATCTTGTGGTTACATTTTAACCAAAACTTTTATTTCATTTAAAAATGAAATAAAAGAAAAAAATGAAAATTTCTTTCATTTTAAATGAAATGAAAAATGAAAGTTTTTTATTTTAAATGTTCAAGATATTTCACCTGTAAGTTTGGTCTGAAGAAAGTCGTGATGATGTGAGGGTGAGATGATTGCGTTGAAGGTTGTTGTGGCATCATGGTGAAGTACTGGCCAGCGTTGGGGAGACCGTTAGCGGCGTTTAAAAAGCCCAGCGGTAGACCAACTGCCTGCACAAAATAAGCCCTCACAGAACCCAGCGGCAGATTATTCACCCACTACACAAAAACTCTACTGAGCCCATCGGGAAACCAATCACCCGTTACACAACGTAGCGAGATCTATCTGGCTGGAGTGTGACGGGGTTGAGAGGAGCGAGGTCTACCTGGCTGGAGTGTGGCGGGGGTCTAGAGGAGCGAGGTCTACCTGGCTGGAGTGTGTCGGGGGGTAGAGAGGAGCGAGGTCTACCTGGCTGGAGTGTGGCGGGGGGTAGAGAGGAGCGAGGTCTACCTGGCTGGAGTGTGGCGGGGGGTAGAGAGGAGCGAGGTCTACCTGGCTGGAGTGTGGCAGGGGTAGAGAGGAGCGAGGTCTACCTGGCTGGAGTGTGGCGGGGGGTAGAGAGGAGCGAGGTCTACCTGGCTGGAGTGTGGCGGGGGTTAAGAGGAGTGAGGTCTACCTGGCTGGAGTGTGGCGGGGGTTGGGGGCGGGGCAGTAGTACGTAGTGCCCCCGGACTCCTGTGCGGACGGTGGGGCTGTAGGACGGACCCCTGCTCCATGGTACCCCATCATGGAGAAGCCTCCGGGGAGGTATGACCCTCCTGACCCTGATATGGGGTTGCGGGGTTAGAAAATTATGCGCGCATAATATTGAGCCGCAATAAATTTTTATTGACAGCTGATGGATAAACTATAAAATGTGAAATAAATCTGTATGATAGTATGATACTAAGAAAGCCGTTATTACCATCAAAACACACACAAACTTTTCAGAATATTTAAACATTGCGTTGACTGCTGGATCAGCAGCTTATAGTTCTTTTAAGGTGACAGTGATAGTTTGTGTTAGCAAATGTTGGGCGTGAACAAATTGATTTGCAAAATTATATTCACGTTTATTTTCTTATAACACTCATGCATCACTGCCAGGCATGGCAGGTTTTAAAATCAGTAATATATTCGGCCCACATGCCATCAATGCCATTAGCCGGGACTAAGCACCGCATAGCCACAACACCAGTGCCGCTCACTTTGCCATCACGGCCTGGATGCGGCTCTGCTCCAGCGCCAACGAGCGGCCCTAACTCCTGCTCCAACCCGGTGAAAATTTACCGACGCGGCAGCTTCTGAATTAGATTACCAGAAGCTGGGGCAACTCTAAATTTTGTGAGGAAATGTGGTCTTTAAAACTGTGCCGCGGCGCTGTTGTGACGTCAAGCACTAACGATAGGCTCACACCTATAAATAATACCTGCACACTTATTTTAATGAATATGAGACAACAATTCACCTGACGCCATACTGGGGATGGCAGGGTCCACCGCTGCGGCTGAGGGGGGAAGACCCATGCCTCCTGAGGATGCCCCACTCATGAGTCCCATGGACCCTGTCGTACCCTGAGTGAGGATACATTGAATTAAAGTGAGGAATTACAACGCGAATTCATGTTCCCAATGACAGCTTGTTGAGCAAGGAAGTATGATGGACGCGGGGATAATGAAGAAAACACAAGGATGGAATAGGAATCGGGCTGAATTTGAAGGAATGATAACGCAAAAGCGTTTTGAAGTATGAAGTATGTTAAAGTAAACACGTGATAATGTAGGAAATATGATTTAGTAAAGTCATGATAAGGTATTTATGAGATAGGGTAAAGACTTAACAAGGAAGGAGTTATGTTATAGGAACGATATGATGAGGCATTTAGTTTGGTGAGATGAGATCGATGGTGTGATCAACTAAAGACATGATTAAGGCGAAATTAAAATGAAGTAAGGGCATCATAAAGAAGGAGGTATGACTTAGTAAAAGCATAATGAAGTAATAGAGTTTATTAACTAAGAAGTACGATGAACTGAGAAGCGTAATGCACTTTTCGGTATGATAGAAATAAAAGAATAAATATCTACCTAGCCAGCCCCTGGAGAGGAAAGTGAGGAGAAGTTGGAAGTTATAAATTTTAGTTAATGAAGCGAGGAGAAGTTAGTAGCAATGCAAGTTAGATGAGATTAAAAAGCAAAGAAAATGCCAAGAAAATTCACCATATCGATATTGAAAACGTTTCGGAATCCAGCTCCATCATCAGTTCGACTAAACTAAAAATGAATAAAATCACTTTAAAAGTCAAAATTCAATAGACAGACATAAATCATTTCGCTATAATGTTAGGTATTGTTTAGGTTTTATGTCTGCCTATTGAATTTTGACTTTTAAAGTGATTTTATTCATTTTTAGTTTATTCGAACTGACGATGGAGCTGGACTCCGAAACGTTTTCAATATCGATATGGTGAATTTTCTTGGCGTTTTCTTTGCTTTTAAATTTCTTGTGAACTTGCGATATAAGCAAACTAATTGTAAGGGAAATTCACCAGTTTTGATTTCGGTTACTTAAATTTATTTTTGTGTCGTAAGTTTTACGGCTGTTTGTAGGGTTGGCAACCGTGCTATCTGATGACGTGGCTCCGTTAACTACCTTTGCCGTTAACTACCTTTGCCGTTAACTACCTTTGCTATGTACTATCACTGTGCGATAATTACTAGGATCTTTTCAACCTTATATATCAGTGTTCAATTTACGTGCTTTGTTCAATAAATAATTATTTAGTATGCTTTCATTTCTCCTTTGTTAAGATCGGTGGCAGTATAGGGTTAATTGTCGAATCTACTTGGAGTCGTCCTTTACTTGAACCTTACACTAATAATATAAGTTAGAAGAGTTATCGGTAAGTGAGGAGAAGAAATTACCAGTAATAAGTTGAGGAGCGCCGAAAGTAGCGCCAGGAAAGAAAGAGCTGGTATTCCAGTAAGCTAAGAAAAATGGATTGCATGTAAAAAATATTAGACAAGGGGGACTTACCTGTACAGCAGAAGGAGGAGGGTAGACGTATTTGATGGTACCTCCGCAGGGAGCTGTGGTACCAGACATGTAGTACAGTGTCTGTGAAGAGGAAGTGATTTAGTAACAAAATGTTTACAAAAGTTATGCAAAATGTATTCATGTTAAAGTGAGTCATAAGGCTTTATTAGTAGCAGGGTAGAACATTTACAAATAATTAAGTGGTAACATAATTAGGTGTATTACTATAAATCTAATAACTTATAATTGAGTATTCGTCATAATGGCAGGAATGGTAATTTATAATAATGCATAACTTATTGGTATACACTGTACAGATGTTAAACAGATGTTAATTTGCAATGAAGCTACAAAAATTCCAGAATAAATAGGGATTGTGTGGGGAGTGTGGATGTAGCCTCACCTGCGGGTAATGTCGGGGCAGCAGGTAAGTCTGGGGATGTGGTGGGGCCTCGGCCTGCAAATCCCCAGAGCTGAGGCTCATTCCCCGCATCTGAGACGTGGCCTCATTCAGGCCGGAGTCCTGGCACAGAAAGAAAGTAATTCAGTTTTCTTCATTTGTCAGTTACTTTGAGTTAAAGAGGATATAGGAATAAGGAACACTAATATATTGAATTGAATTTCTCTTATCCCAACACTTGAGAACACGCAAAAAAATGAAAAAAATAATATGCTTTTTACCAGTTAAGACAAAGCCTAAAAAATTCGGAGCTTCTATAATGATACATTAAAAGGACCAAAAATGAAAGGAACCCTCGATGTAACTAACGAAATCAGGATATGACAGTGGGTGGCGATGGACTTTCAAATAACAAAGGGTTCAATTAATTAATTGATTATTCACGCGGATTGAAGAAGTTTCAGGTGAAAATATTCTCACCACGGAGCAGGTACGGCCAGCCTCCTGCATGGAGTAGTAGGGGGAGGAAGGATTGCAGGAGTGGCCTCCTGCTCTAGGTAGAGTGGCAACACTTCGTGCAGATGGTGGTGCAGGAGGAGGACTACTGCAGGTACTGGCAGCTCCTGCAGCAGAAGGAGCAGGAGGGCTGCAGGAGGCGATAGTTCCTTCAGGCAAATCGCCACCGCGGGACACGCGGCCTGAGGATACCAGAGTCGCTGGAGACGTCGTAGCGTCGGCATCCTTCGCATCCTTCTTGCTACCATCGCAAGATCCTGTTTGAAATATATTTAAAATATATCTATGTTTCATGACGTAACAACTGTATCACTGGTATCATTGTGATGTAAGTAATTTTCTCTGTAAATTTGTACAAAAAAAACTTTTCAATGTTCCGTATGAAATAAATGTGATTCAATATATGAAAAGTTATCATTGTTTATAAACGTGTCCACCTCTTAAAGGAGCTGAGAATATGTACAAAAATATGATCATGAATTATAAGATGACTTTTCAATATTAAAAAATTTAATTTCAGACAGTGGACAAAACTACACGGCTTGCACTGCGAGTATTTAATTATCTATGATGAATGCTTCTTCATACAAAACTCCGCGGATTTTAGTACCAGCATTTAATGACCTATATTCGTGACCTTCTCATATAAAACTCTACGGATTTCACTTCCAGTATTCAATTACCTATATACATCATCTTCTCACGAAAAACTTTACGGATTTTACTACCAGTATTCAACTACTCATATGGGAGGCATTGACGCTCATAACTTCACGGGTTTCACTACCAGCATTTAATTACTTATTCATGTGGCCTCCTTCCATGAAATTCTACGGGTTTTATTACCAGAATTTAATTACTTATTTGCACGACCTTCTTTCATGAAACTGCATGGGTTTCAATGCCAGCATTTAATTACCTGTCTTTATTGAGCTTGTAATCATGGACTTATAATTGCTGGCTCAAAGGACACAAAAATTGTAGCACCAGTTTAGATTGCAATACTGCAATGTAACTGAGTACTATTAAAGTACAAACATGTAGCAAGAGTTGGAGGTAACAGGGATGCAGTACTTTACAGCAGATTTTAATGCAACAAAAATTATATTGCAACGAGAACCCATTTCAGCTAGATGAGTCTAGAAAGCATCACACGCAAAATACCACACAGTTTCTAAATTTTTATTTACATCGTTTATATTTTTTAGTTTTATTTTAGTCAATTTATTTATCTTAAAAATGCATTGTAAGTCTATGTACGCAAGCCTCACCATCGGGGTCGGGTATGTGGGTAGGGGGAGACGTGATCCCCCCATCCCTAGGGGGTGAGGGAGTGAGGGGATAGTAGGGAGAATGTTGGGGTGCCACCTCGCACTCCACCAGCCCTGGGATGATTAGTACAATTAATTGAAGGTTATCTTCAATAATTAAGGATAATAATTAAGGAATATCTACTACACACTTACTGATTCTACAGTAACAAGTTCATTATTTCGTAACATGAAGTCACTAAAGTTAGTTCACAATTTTGTGGTAGAAAACTTTTAACTTAAAATTTTTTTTAAGTAAAACGATTACGGGGTTTTTGAATAGAGAAAATGGGAGGCCGGTACTGACCGTCATGCTGGCAGGGGAGGCTGGTACTGACCGTCATGCTGGCAGGGGAGGCTGGTACTGACCATCATGCTGGCAGGGGAGGCTGGTACTGACCGTCATGCTGACAGGGGTGGTGTAGGGGTGAGTGGTGCTGTGATGCAGAGGGTGGGGGGCAGGGGGGAGGCAGCAGATGTGGGGGGTTGCTGGGGTCGTAACGGTACACCGAACCGTCCTGGTTGACGTACGGCTGACCCGTCTGTGGGGCAGAAAAGTGAGTCAATTCGGGTAAACTGGAGTGAAATAAGGTATATTTGGTAAAACTGGGATCAACTATGGGTTATCCCGGGCTAAAGTAATAGGGCAACATGGGGCAGCGCGCCCCCCCTTTTTTTAAACTAAATTTTTTATGAAGTTTCAATTGATACGAGGTGGTTCTTTGTTTTGTTTAAAGGTACAACTAATGAGGAATGTATGATGTGAATTAGACGCCTATATGTTCATTCAATTTTTAATGAAACACTGTTTTGTAAAAAGTGTCAAAATGGGCTTATTGCCCCACCCCTGGGGCAATGGGCCCATGGGCTTGGGGCAAGGCGCCCACCCATGGTCCCTTTACCACAAATGCATATTTTACGTTTAAAAATGATAAAACAACACTTTACAGTTAAAAATAAGAAAATGCAATAAAAAATATGACATTCACTCATTCATTAACAACTCAAAAAATCATATACTTAACTTGAAAAAAATATACTCTTGGCTTAAAAAAAATACTGACGTGAAGAAAAATATTTCATTGACATAAAAATATATATCCTTGACTTGAAAATATATCCTTGCGATAAAAAATTCGTCCTTGACATGAAAAAATTTATCCTTGACTAGAAAAAATATATTTAGTTGATCAGAAAAAAACTTCGTTCCAGTTTCGTCCATAATCCAGATATTATGTGCAGAGAAATCGTACCTAATCGTGACTTCAGCCAACGCCATAAAAACTCTCATCAACTTTTGGCTCAAATTGGTGTTGACTGAAATCAACTTTTGGCAAGTCAAGAGTCAATAACTCGAAAAGTGGTCATAAATACGCACAACTAGAAACTAAACCTGCTGCCTTGAGGCGGCAAATAAAAAATCATGCAATATGAAGTGTAATTTGTAATTCAAAAAGCTAGTCATAGTTTGAAACGGTCATTGAGACAAATCTAATGATGTATAACACGCGACTTTACCATGGGCGCTTTGCCCCGTGACACGCGTGGGCCCGTTGCCCCATTAGGTATCATTTCAATTTATATCGTGTCAACATTTTATTTTAAAAGCTAATAGTCTAAACTTGGTCTCAAAATTATCCCTATAAATATTACTTTGAAAAAATAATTCAAAGTAATTTCAAAATCTTCATCTATAGTAATGAAAAAAAACTTTATTTAGCGGCAAAAAAATTTTTATCTGGACTAAAACAGTTATTCGCAAAGAACTTAATAACGCAAACACTTGGCAAAACGTAAATCTGTAACTTCATCCCAGTGAAACTGTCGACCGGCGGTAGAGAACACGGACCAATATATCTGCCATACTTAGCGAGAAACCCGCTATGGGCCCGTGACGCGCAGTGGGCTCGCTGCCCCATGTTACCCTATGATTCTTGGCCGAACTAAAACAAGTTGGATTTCAAATGGGCTTACACTTTGTAAAATGAATAATTGTCTGTATAGTGCAACGAATCTGGGTTGATCTCGGTTGAATTGAAAATTATCTGATGAAGTTATTAGTTCTCCATGAAAAAGCGGATAACATAATAAAATTTTGATGCTGGCCCGACTTTGAAATAAAAGCTAACTAGGACTCGGGAAGCTCGCAGACCCTGAATGACTCTTCGCCAAGCGTAACGACTCTACGGCCGAACCCTAGGCGGTCCCCAAATTTTGCTAGGGAAACTTTGGGCTGATTATAGCGACTTTTCGACCGAAGTCGAGAGGCGGTACTCCCAATTTTTTTTAGGGGTAGTCTTGCGTGAGCTGTGATAAATTTGCGCAAACTGAAGAAAAATCGAAGAGCAAAATAAATTTATATAAAAAATAATTTTTCTCACGCCTCCTCACCTGGGGGTTGATGAGCAGGGCCCCTGCGGGGACAACGTCCATGTCCGTCACCGCCCACATTACGTGCTCCGCTCCCTCCCCCCAACCCCCGCCCTGCAAAAATAGGCATAAACTTTTATAATTAAAGGTAACAGTAACATACTCCATTGTCATTTCTAATTTTATTCCTATTGTTATTTCTAACATTATTATTGTTGTCAATTTTAATTTCTTCCGCGTTGCCGTTTGTAATAATACAGTTACTGAAAAGCTCGCTTTTTATTGCAACGTACGGGAGGCTGGTACTGATTATCTCGACTTAGTAAAGATTACCCGCCTGAGAAGAGCATTTTCGAATAAAATACCAAATTTTATCCTATCTACTCATGTGCACGACATTCTCTGCCCTCGTTCACACCACCACACTCATATAAATGATGTCATCATGACGTAATTAAAGATTCGGTCCAAATATCATTTGTTATTTAATTTCGATCCCGAGCTACAAATAACAATCGAACAGTTAGCAAGCCTGAGAACAAAGAAATGGTGGCGTATTTACATTGTTACGCGGCTTCCATCATTCTAGAATATAATGTGAGCACTAAAATAATTAAGGCTATTGTATTATACATTGATATTATCAAGTAACGACTCGTTAACGACCACAATCGCAATACCAATGCATTTAATCGCAATTTAAGCCTATCAAAGAAACTCGAAATGTGAAAAAGCCTACATTCAGAATTAATACAATAAAATGGCAGTGCACCGCTAAATTTTGTCATAATTTGTAGTTGTTAATTTAAACTAATGACGACACGCAGTTGGTGTTGATTTTAAATCCTGAGATCATTTCATCGCAGGTTTAAAATAAACCTAAGTTGATTTGATCGCGGAATTAAAATCAATGCAGCTGATTTTAAACCTGGGCACATTCCAGAGCGCAAACCCCGGACCAGAAATGCTTTAGACGTACCGGGGGGAGATTGGAGTGATGGTGGTGGGTGGTGACGGGTGACGGGGTCGTGGAGAGGGTGTTGGAAACGTTGGTAGAGGAGGTGTCTTGGCGCTGTGTCTTGTAGCCCGAACTGCCACTCTGCTCGCTCACACGACTGCTGGTAGAGTCTGGGGGAGCGGGGGAATATGAAAGGAGGCTGTGGGTGGAGGGAAGAGGGAGTGGGAGATGCGTGAATGAGGGCAGTGGGTGAAAGAAAGGAGAAGCGGGAGGAGTGTGAACGGTGGCAGAGGGTGAAGGTAAGAGGTAGCCGTGTATGAAAAGAAGGGCTTGTGAACGGGAGCCGTGGTGGAAGGATGTGAAGGGGGAGGTGTGTGCATGGGGGCAGCGGGTGAAGAGAAGGAGAGGGGGAGTTGTTTGAATGAGGGCAGTGGGTGAAGAGAAGAGGTGGAGGAGATATTGGAATGGGGGCAGTAGGTGAAGGAAAGGGGGAGCTAGACGTTGTGGGAGAGAATAGAGAGAATGTGGGAGAAAATAGAAGAAGTAATGTGAGGTATGAGTGAATGTGAGTAGATGGCAAAGTTCTGTGAATTGGATGGGCATTGAAGGAGTGACAGGAAAGTACGGGTTGGTCAGGAATATTTAGCAAAAGAAATAAGGAAAAATGTTAAGGGAATTAGGTGAAAGAAGTCAAGAGGTCGAGGGAATAAGGATTTGGGAGGAAGAGAAAGAAAGAGCGAGGGAGACTGTGGAAAAGTTAAGAAAATCTTATCTGCAGATTAATGAGCCTCACTTCAGTTACAGAGCCTCACCCAGCCTCACTAGCCTTACCCTGCTTGGTGAGGCGCTCAGTTACTGCGAGGCCACCCCCGTAGCCACCGAAGCTGTGGCTCTTGAACACCGACGGCCTCAGCGACCGAGCGCACTCCAACGACTCCACCTTTGGAAGTCTTCCAGGCCTGGAGGAGGAGAAAGAGGAGGTGTTAGTGCTGACGTTATAGTGTTGTTGTTGAGTTTTCCAGAGTCCCGGTCACGCCAGGAAACTTGCGCTGCACAGGAAAGCCGCCACCCGAGCCGGCTCGGACCAAAGCTGTGCGACGGATGTTATGCCTGCCCGGAGCCTAGGTGCTGCCAGCTCCGGGCACTCCAGCAGCTAATGTTTGACGGTGTGGAGGTGCAGGGATCTTAGCTGAATATTCGGAAGTACTTCGGGAGACAGAGGGAGAAAAGAAGAAAAGTAACCGAACCGATTTGTTGAACTTTGAATAAGTTACGGTGTTGGCGATCCCGTAGCAACGTATACGACTTCAGAGTAGACTTGTTGTGGGAGAAAAGCAAGAACTAGTTTGTGAAGTCAGACAACTGCAGAGGTATGTGTGATATTCTAGAATTGTGGAGACATTCTACTGTCGACATTTGTCAATATGTAAATATTATATGTTTGTTGATAATAAGCGATATATCTAGTAGGGAAATTAACGGACTGATTGTAAATTTGATTTTATTCATGTAGGGAGAAGTCAACCCGGATAGAAGATCACAAGAGGCTATCAGGAAGATTCAGTATTGTGCTTATATAATCTGTTACTGTGTTGTGAGGAACATCTACTGTGCTGTGCCCTAGCATATGAAAGAAGAGAGTTCTGTACCCTATAACGATGCCCATATGTTCACGTTAACTTTGTTCAATGTTCCTAATTTAAGTATTCACTTTTCATTACTATTAAATTAATTGTGTTAAATCGAGATCATTATTTAACCTCGGCACGAAAGATCATTACAGGAGGAGTGCATGACATTGGGGCAGAAGTCCGAGTGAGTGCTGTCAAGGAGGTTTTTGTAGGAGTAGAGTGAGGGATGGTGACCACAGCGGAGTATGCTGAGGTGCACCCTGTCTGCACGGTTTAACTGCTGTTCTGTATGGCTGATGACCGGCGGTATGTCATCTATGATGTTGCTGATTGATAAATTCGAGAGCGCGTTCCAGGTTAAATGTGTGTGTATAGGTTTGATGAAGTTGGCTGGGTCTGTGGATGGCGGCAAGGAGTTAGGTGTTGTAAGATAGTAGTTTTATGGAGTGTAAACTATTTATCTAAGTGTTGGGGGTAGAGGCTGAAAGTGACGGCCGGGGTTGAGGAGGTTATAGAATGCTGATGAAAGGTATTAGGTGTCTTTCATATCTAGATGTTCTTTCAGAAAGAGGACTTTGATTTCTGCGTGGACGAGGCCGGATCGTGTAGTTCTGGTGCTGCCAAATACGATTCTGGGTGCCGTGTTTTGTATGATTTGAAGGTGGTTGCGAAGCGTGGGTGTAATTATGGGCTAGACTAGCATAGTCCAGCAGTGAACGTAAACTTGTATGTACACTCATGTGAGGGTTTCTTTGTTTTGTCCGAAGGTTGTTCCTGTGAGAGCTCAGAGTGGTTTTAACCTAGGTCTGCATTTCGTTTTGATGTTCTGTATGTGTGGCCCAAATGACATGGAAGTGGTTGAAGTGACATGTAGAATTGGTTTGGTTTCATGTGTGTGCGGTATGATGGTGGGGTTGCTTTGTGTGACTTTGAGGCTGGGTTGATGCTCCTTTGTGTGCTGGTGTTCTTACTGCTAGTATAATAGAATATCTGCTGGTCATGCTTTATTGTTGCTGTTACACCACTTTCGGCATTCTAAATCTTTCTTAGGTCACCTGTTATTTTTGCCGCCCGGCCTGTGAAAGAGTCGAGGAGATTCAGAGTTCTATATTTCGATTCAGTACTGCTGTGGTAACTACGGATTCAAAATATAAACTAGACATTATCGTAGTATCTATGATTGTATTGGTCGTAGTGGTGCCTGCGACGGGGCGGGACGTCTCACCTGAGACGGTGTTAGTCCTAGTGATGCCAGGGACTAGGCGGGATGGCTTTTCTGGGACGATGGTGGTCGTAGTGGTGGCGGGGAACAGAGCAGTACTGCTCACCTGAGACGATGGTGGTCGTAGTGGTGCCTAGAACAGAGCAGAACTGCTCACCTGAGACGGTGGTGGTCGTAGTGGTGCCGGGGACGGAGCGGGACTGCTCACCTGAGACGATGGTGGTCGTAGTGGTGCCGGGGACGGGGCGGGACGGGCTCAGCGAAGTGCCAGCAGTGGCGGTCCCGCCAGCGGTGGTCGTCGTGGCAGAAGCCGCGGCAGCGCTCGCCAAATCGAGGATCGCTGCCTCCAGCGCCTCCCTCCAGTGACGAGAACGACTGGTGACAACCAACAGGTAATCATTTACAGTAATATATAAATTCATCAATTTGGGTCAAAAGTTTTGTATCAAGGTTGAACTGCCAAAAACTTCGCCAACAACGTGACACGGACATGGCAGAAAAGTCAGACCGCTTATCAGCGTAAATTAACTGCACTCTAGACACGACCCTCCCTTCTTGGCCAAGCCTAACCTCTTGACCAAACCTCACCTCTTGACCAAGCTACACCTCTTAATCAAGCCGCATCTCTTGACCAAGCCTCACCACGGGACTAAGTCATACCTTTTGACCGAGCTTCTCCTCTTGATCAAGCCTATGTAACCTCTTGTCCAAATTTCAACTCTTGATCATGCCAAGCATCTTGATCAAGCCTCATCTCTTGACCAAGCTTCACATCTTGACCAAGCATCACCTTTTGACCAAGCCTAACCTCTTGACCAAGCCTCACCTCTTGACCAAGCCTCACCTCGTGATCAAACCTCACCTCTTGACTAAACATTCTTTTTCTGGCGCGATGGTATTCCTCCTGTCGCTCCTCGAAGCTCTTGCTGCGCCGAGGGTCGTTCAGAGGGTCGGCCAGCTGCTGAGAGGTCAAGTAGTGCCAGACTTTATAAATCAAAACAGCAAAAGCATTCGTGTTTCGAAAATCTACAGTGTAATTTTAATTATGAATATTAGATTGAAATTTATGAAATGTATAATTTATCCGACATTATTGTCTTACTTTGAAATATCATGCGTAATAGCATTCGATCATGCAGTTTCTATATCGGTGCGCATATTACACACATCCACACTTTTCCCAAAACCGACGTCTTCACACCTCGTCGCTTTTCCCTTTCTCCTACCTTGAAACCGAGGCTGTCTTCGAAGGAGGAGAACTCCCGCCTCAAGACGGACCTGCGGGGGAGGTCGTCCGGCAAGGGAGTCATCTCGTCACAGAAATGCTCTCTGAAGCGCACCTCCGGAAGCCTGAGGACGAACAACATTAGAGGCTGGCAGCGAAATAACAGTTCTTCGTAATCGGCAAGCTCGGCAGTATTGCGCCAAAAAATTAAGGGAGTTATTCACCTGGTATTCTTGGTCTTGTTGACGATGACGGCGGTACCGGCCTGGTCCACGTTGTGCTCCAGGCCAAAGTATGCAGCGCATCTATGCACCAGCATCCGGTGGTAGGAGGACATCTGCTGGAACTTGTGGTGGCTGCGCCTGAAGGATGGGCAGGGTAGGGGTTAGTACGGCATGTGGTGGTAGGAGGATATCTGCTGGACCTTGTGGTGGTTGCGCCTGAGGGATGGGTGGGGTAGTGGTTAGTACGGCATGTGGTGGTAGGAGGACATCTGCTGGAACTTGTGGTGGTTGCGCCTGAGGGATGGGTGGGGTAGTGGTTAGGGTTAGTTCGGCATTTGGTGGTAGGAGGACATCTGTTTGAACGTGTGAAGGCTTCGCATGTAGCGGCAACCATCTCGCCATAAAAAAACGCAGGTTTAGCCATGCAATGGTTCATCCTGCAATTCTACAAGCTTTCTTCAGGTTCTGTCCGTGATGATAAAGGCGTTTCCATAGATATCATTCTCTCTATGAGATGGAACTAAAATTTTAAGATCCGTCACTCGCCTTACTTGTGATCCTCTCTCTCTCTCTATCTTAATCAAGGAGCAGATCTTGCTAGCCATCTTTGACCAGGTTGATAAGCTCTTTCTCTATCTTAAGCAGTAGGTCTTACTTGTTATCTTTGATCAGGTTCATGAGCGCTCCTTTTATCTAAAGCCGAAAGTCTTACTTATTATCTTTCACCATGTTGAAGAGCTCTCACTATCTTAAGCAACAAGTCTTACTTGTTATCTTTGACCGTGTTGATGAGCTCTCTCTATCTTAAGCAGCAAGTCTTACTTGTTATCTTTGACCAGGTTGATAAGCTATCTCTCTATCTTAAGCAGCAAAGCTTACTTGTTATCTTTGACCAGGTTGATAAGCTCTCTCTCTATCTTAAGCAGCAAAGCTTACTTGTTATCTTTGACCAGGTTGATAAGCTATCTCTCTATTTTAAGCAGCAAGCCTTACTTGTTATCTTTGACCAGGTTGATAAGCTCTCTCTCTATCTTAAACAGCAAGTCTTACTTGTTATCTTTGACCAGGTTGATAAGCTCTCTCTCTATCTTAAGCAGCACCGCTCTGTCCTTCTGGTGCTTGTGCAGCGTCTGGATGATGAATTGCAACAAGTCAACGCCGCTGCTGTCGGTGTACTCCATTGATGATTCTGCACACAAACATGACGTTCTTAATAACACTTTCTCCCACATGTGAAATTAATGCACAAAATATATAAAATTATTATGAAAATTTTGTACCTCGATCCTACTGCCGATGACTTTTATTTATTAAGCGAAGCAAAAACAATGCCATTGATTAACTATGGCATGGTATGATGGTGGCGTGCGTCGCAGAAATATTTCGAACACCGGCAAAAATTATTATTTTTCATAACAAATGAGTATTTTTTCCATTTTTCAGAGAATAATAAATCATGAAATATCATTTCTGTTAAATTCGATTATTCGAAGTGAGGAAAGAGATGGAAGCGTTGGATTTCAGTAAGGAGTTCAACAATGATTATGTTCGATTAGTACTATAGCTGAACGGTGCAACAAAGCTGAACAATTTACAATAATTTCGATGCGTTCTGTACTTTAACAGTGTATACCTATTAGACAATTAAGTATTAGTTCAACAGAGTTCAGAAATTTGGCCGAAGTGCTGTACTTTATCAGTGTTCAACGGTTGAACATGTCGTGTACTTTCAGTGTATGGATAATAAACGAATAAAACGAATTAAATAGTATTTTACAAATAAGAGTACAGTAATTATATAGAGTAATTAATAATATATAATATAAAATATATAATAATTAATAATATTAATATTAATATTAATATTAATACTAATATTAATATATATTAATCAATAATATATAATAATAATAGTAATTATGCACAGATCCCTCACCTCTGGAGAGACACGGAGACGAGCCGTCGAAGGAACCCTGTAGAGATCCCTGGGAGGATCCCTGGTGGCGCAACCTCCTCCTACTTGCCATCCCTCCCGGGATTCCTACTTGGATGGGGACCGTGGGGGACACCGTGAGACTATTCCCCCCACAGTGGGTGAGAGGGACGGGTGGTAGGGGGAGGTCTGGAGGGGGTGGGGAGGCATCATCCCTCATAGCGTGGCTTCGCTGTAGCTGCTTCTGTTTCCCCAACTGTAGGCCGAAATAATATCTGAATTTTTTCGGGTAATTTTTACCTAATTTTTAAATTAAATTAAAAAGTACACAAAGGAACATCCAGCAAATTTTGCTAAACAAATTTGCTAAAAATTTTTTTCCAAATAAAATGATGGCCATCGAAATATCGATTATTGTGAGTATTTTCTCAATCTGATTAACGCGCTTGATCACGTTACTTTTATCAAAAAGCAGACATAAAATAAGTCGTCTTTGCCAATATACTTTAGAAAGGGGAATTTATCACGAACTTCCTGCCTTAAACTACATCTAAATTAATAACTAATCTGACATTATGTAATTCCATTTAAGATTATATACGGTTTTTGGTTAATTATAAAACTACGTTACATTTGTCCTGTTGCACAGTTTTTAATCAAAACTTAGAAATCAACTAAAAGCCTGAGAAACTAAACTACCGAAAAGCAATAATAGGAAATTTTACAAAATTTAAATTGTGTGCTCACCAAGAAATAACTCGCATTTAAAAGTGTGTTGCTTCTATTTTTAATTTCGTTCATCCAAATACTCAACGCAATGAAAATTTTTTTCAAACTCCTCCTTGGGCTCAACCTTTAAGAATCGAAATCAATATAATTAAAAAATTTACTTTGACGACAAAAGGCAAAAATAATTTATTTTTATCATTATAATTTTTTTCTAATTGGTTCATGTTATGCACGAGAAAATGATTTACGAATTTCATATCATCACACACTTTAAAAACTTCGATTGCAGCATACATTTGAAACATGTTCCAATTATTCCCTGAAATGTTTCATTTCTAATTTTAGTAATAAAAATTCCATGCCATTATATCAACCTAAAATGAGCTACCCCATAAAATTACCCTAAACTGAATTACCCCATAAAATAACCCCAACTGAATTACTTCATAAAATCACTCTCAGCTGAATTACTCCATGAAATGACCCTAAAATTTATTTCAAGACAAAAATTACCCTGTTCCTGAGCCCAGGGGGAGCGGAGGGAGAATCCCCCTCGAGGTGCATCGAAGGGAGATCTAGGGAGCGGCTACGGGAGGGGGAGGGACCGGGGGAAGGTCTGGGGGAGTAACCAGCCTCCCCACCACCAGGGCCTGGCCCCGTGGGGCCACACGAATGGTCCCCAGCACTGGGGGAGCAGCACGCCCCATCAACCACCTGCCCGTGGGGCTCGGCTGGGGGAGGGACTGGACTGTGACTCCCACTGGGCGGTCCTGCCTCCGCCTTATCTCCCTGTCGGGGAAAATTTTTATTTTATTTTTTATTATGTGGGTAAATTCGCGAATTTTATGTTTACTTTAAGTATAATTTTTTTATCAACGTTCTCATCTATCTCATCACGTTTAATAACTTCCTATCAAAATTTTCGTGTTTTGAGTCAGGAATTTTTGGTGGAGTTTCCTATAGCTTAATTATGGAGACGATTTATTTTAGACTCATTTATTCAATTATTAATGTAATTCGGAGTCAATTAATAGAATTCGATGTTTTTTAGAATACATGGAGTGACTATTTCAATACAGCCGGTTAAATTTAAATTCATTATTTTGATTTTATTGAAAAGGGGGAATGACCTTCACAATGACAGGAAGTCGCTAGATAATAAATTCAAAGTTTCAGAGATATCATTAAATTTTTTAGGCAAAAGCGTTTTAATAATTGTGAGGAAAATCTTTGTTATGGAAAATGATAAAGATTATGCATGTGGAGTGGAACCAGTTAGCGGAGAAAGCTAGATGGGGGAGTGGGGCTAGCTGGGGGAGTGGGGCTAGCTTGGAGTGGCGCTAGCTGGGAGTGGAGCTAGCTGGGGGCGTAGGGCCAGCTGAAGGATTGTGCTCAGTTTGGGGGAGTGGGGCAAGTTGGGGAGTGGGGCTAGCTGGGGGGAGTGGGGCTAGCCTCACCTCGCTTCCGGGCTGGTCGCCCCGGTGGGAGGCGGTGGGTGGAGCGGGGGAGCTGGATGGGGGGCTCCCTGATCCATTGTGCACCACAATGGAGGGGACTGCACCATAACAATCATCATTAAATTAATTACCTCATTACCTTTATGTTAATTAATTAACTTATTTCGTATGTCATCAACATTACATCAGCGTGTCTTAGCACTGGAATAAACTGGACAGAAAATATCGCAAAGGAAATAATTTTTTTGTGCTGGCACCATTAAAATGCTGAGTGTGAATGAGCTTAATCAACGATAACTTTCACTTTAAAAGTGCTCATAATAAAGCTTTCAATTACTATGGTTTTCCGGTTATTTAGGTTGATCGATTAAATATGCGTTAGTAATTAAACCCAATTAATGAGCTAACTAAAATGTATCTAGCAACACGATCTTCTTCATCGTATCTAAACTAGTCACGGCCATTGGGATGTGCGAATTTAAAGTTAATGATGCGCAGTCATTCTAATTTTTAGCCAATACATTTCGCGTGGGATATATCCATATATGTATATCTCAAGCGGGAAACTCATTAGGTTTATGAAACCTTACGAATTCGGAACTTCTTGGTAGTTCAACAGCGACCGTTAAAAATTTGGAAATCGTAAGTTGTATATAAATATCGATCGCAGATTTGATCTAGAAGTTAACCAGCGAATTCATGATGCGGTATCAGTTATTTAGTTTAGTACAACTGATACAGGGCTGACATTTGTTTAAAACTCTACGGGCTTTGAAACCTAAGGTTTATTTACTACACCTCGTAAACGCATAATAGAGATTGCATGAACAATATTTTGAACAATGGTAATAATATTATTAATGATAATTTACATTAATTATAAACCCTGAATCAAGAGGACATTGTTATTATCAAAGTTGTGCCTCGGCAAGTTTTTCTTCCCAATAGAAGCACAACTTATGCCGTGCAAGTCTAAGCCTAGTAAATGTCTGTGACGAGAATGAAATATCAAATTTAAAATTGGATGAAAAAACGAATTTCAAACCATAAATAAACTAACCAATTTCTCAAATTAACTAACCAATAAAAAACGTTCAGCAAGCAGAATATGGGTAAAAAATCATGCCGTTTCTTGAAGAGACCCATAAGAAAAATAAGAAACTGTGGAGCGGTAGACTTACTTTCAAGTCGCGCCATGTTCTGGAGGGATTCTCAGCAATTGAGCAACACTGGTACTAGCGGGTTGCTCCTCGAGGCCCTCGGTGTTGCCAGCTGAAGGCTCCCCATCATCTAAAGTTCTTGTCGTCTAAAGGTTTATCCGTCAGGATGTAAATTCTTCTCAGTCAGGACGGCAACGTTTGCAAGATTCCCGTCAGGTTGTTGTTACTTAGTGGTTTTTACTTCGGGATGGCAATAACAGTATATTTTCCGTCAGGACGGCAAAACTTGACAGGGATTCCCGTCAAAGAAGCAATGCTTGTAATATAATGGCAAGATTAATATAATAATGAATTATAATGTAATATAATTCTCGCCTAGAAGACACTTTTGGTGGTGCTTTACAATTTGCCTTGCAATTACAGTGAGTAATTAGTAAATTATTGCAATATATTAACAAAACTAACAACTTTAAACGTAAAAAAACTTAAACTACTTGATTAACATTGAAGTTGCAACAAATTAGAACAACTAAGAGAGTCTCGTGTGTTGTGAAACAAAGTTGTTCTAAGATTCAAACTTCCACATGATGTTTCACACCCAGACCATAGTGCTTCAGGCACGCTTTCTTAATGCCTTCGTTTCTCTGTCTCTGTAAGGAAAAACAAATGTTTATTTTGCCCTTTAACACTGAAACAATCATGAATTATTTTTACAAATCGATTTATCGACAAAATTGTGATTTCCAATGTTAGATTTCATGTTGTTGTTTTCTTCTTTTGTCTGACCTGGAACACGAGTTTCAAGTGCGCGATAAAGTCGAAAATCTACATTTTTCAAATTTTTTAACTACATTGTAACCAAGCGAAACGATCGATTTCAGAGTGACGTTTTCATTCAAAAAGCATATTACAATATATTATTATTACCAAAAAGCATATTAAATTCCTTCGGCGTTTTTTCATTTCGTTTGCATTCAATTTCCTCTAATTACAATGCTATACATTCTAAACGATAATTTCCCTACAAATGTGTCTGCATCAAATTTGTTTTTTTTAATACGATTAAGGAACTTATTTCCCTAACGTCAGCTAACGTCATGATGCCCCAGCATTGTGGCGAGCAAACGTCATGATACCTTAATGTATTAACTGAACTGAGCGGCAAGACTCTGGTAAGAATGACTCTGAATGACTCTGGGACTCATGGGAATGACTCCCATGACTCTGGTAAGAACAGCGTTGTAAAAAACACGCTGCCGTCTAAGTAACTAAAACTTCACGTAGGAATAATATCATAATTACCTGCCTCCTGCTACACTCCTCTCCCTGCACGTAGGAATTGCATAACATTTAATACTCTGCCTACCACACTTGCCATACTCCACGTAGGAATGACATCATAATAACCACCATACCTTCTAAACTCCACGTAGGAATAACATCATAATTGCCACTATACGGTCTAACTTCACGTAGGAATAACATCATAATAGCCAGACCGCGCCCCAAAATTCTCCTACGTCAGGTAGGAATAGCATTAGAAGCAGTAAACAATGGTTGCCGGGGCGGGTGAGGCTCGTGTAGTCGGCGTACAGTCGCGCGCAAAACTCAACCGCTCTGATATCGACCTCAGAGCTGCAGGCAGCTGCGGTGGCAGCTTTAAATCTGCGCTAGCGCTGTAGCTGCCGCAGCTGCAGCGTGAACGGCAGCAGCAGCGTGGACGGCAGCAGCGTGAACAGCAGCAGCGTGAACGACAGCAGCAGCAGCGTGAACAGCAGCAGCAGCGTGAACGGCAGCAGCCGCCTGAACAGCAGCAGCAGCGTGAACGGCAGCAGCCGCCTGAACAGCAGCAGCAGCGTGAACGGCAGCGGCCGCCTGAACAGCAGCAGCAGCGTGAACGGCAGCAGC